ATAATTTTATAAGGCAGGTGTAAAAAAAGTCCAATTGAGAAAGGAAAAATCAAATCTACATAAATTATTTTTACTTGTTTATTAGTTAATTAGTTTTGTAATACCTCAATGGGTGCTGTTTTATCCACACAAAAATCTTTTATTTGCTATTTCTAATATTCCAGTGTAAATAACCTTCATTATTATATATTACATTAACAAAAGATGCCTTCTGACTTAATGACTATTGAAAATAAAAAGTTATAGCATTGCCACAACAATAGTTAACAATGACTTACTTTACATCAAATAAAGAACTTCTTCAAAGTGTATTAAATAAAATAATACAAAATGAAATGATCTTCTTCTTGGGGAAAAATAAGTAGTTCAATGAAGAAATAAAAAACAGATTAAAACAATAAACATCAGAATTACTATGTTATGTTTGTGTTATATTCTGAGAATTTAATCAATACTTTGATAAATAGTATAACTATTGCATTTATAAGGAACAGTTGAACATACCATTCGAACTTCAATTTTATCTGTTGAGAGGGTGTCTGGGTCAACAACTACATTAGTGGTTTTATTCCCTTGAACAAATTTTACTTTATTTCCCTTAACATCTAAATGAGGATTAAAGCAGTTCCAAGGGATGTCAGAAACTAATTCAAATCTAACATCATTCCAATTACGATATTCCAAATATTCCCTAAACTTAGTGTTTTGTTTCATTGGAGTAGAAACACTACAACTAAATGTAGGTTGAAACATAAATACAACCCAACATGCCAAACAGCAAAATGAGAATGAGACAATAAAGAAATTTAAAAAAGAGGTATTTAATGTTTGACTACATCCCCATAACAACAACATTAATGAGACATAAACTCCAAGATATAATTGTAAAGCTGTTCCCATTAAGAAACTAGCTGATACACAAACAAGAAATACATTTAATAAAATAAAATTCATGGTAATTGCTTGTTTAGTGAATGTTCCATTAGGTGCAAATTGATTAGATGCCCAATAACAAATACTAGCAAATACAAGAAATATCCAAATAAACGGAAAAGTTCCTTTTATTGCTACAATTGCAGAGATAAATGTTAGTATCACTGCAGTTGGTACAACGAATGAACTTGGTCCAAAGGAAAATAGATTATCTGATTTAACTTCATTAACTACTTTCATTGTATTATCTACAGCAACAGCTAAATTAACTACTGTTTCTGTTTGGATAACTTTCTTTAAATCCCTTTGTAATTCTTTTAACGATTCAACAATAAAAGGTAACAATGATAATGGATCAATAGAAAGTCTTCCGTCTTCATCTTCTTTAACAGCCTCTGGAATCACCTCTTTTAATTCTTGTGCAATAAACCCAAATCTAATCCTATCTTCATTAACGTATTTAAATGACTTACCAGTAATTTTACAAATAGTATCTAGGGCATGTGAAATTCTTTTAATATCTTTCTTACTTCTTTTGTCTGACCGTTGTAAGAAACCATTTTCAGCAAATATTTCTCCAGCAACATAAAGCCTTTTAACATTTTGTGAAATTGAATAAATTCTTATAAAGTCATTTCCTAAACTTAACAATTGTGAGGTAAATGGAGTAACCATAATCCCATTTGAGGATTGACCAAATTGAGTGTCTAACTGAACTTGTTGAGAATTTACTGAAAGAGGTTCTACAATATTAGATTCTATATGAGGGAATATTGTTTGGTTTGTTGATTGATCAGAAGAATCAATACATTTAATATTATACCCATTTTCACTTCTTGCATAAAATGAAGATTCTGGTTGAACTAAAGGGGATTGTTGTGGATTCTGAACGTTTTGTGGAACAAAATCTACTTTATTTATTAACGTATCAGGAAGATCATATGGTTTTCTTTTTCTAATACCATCAGCATTAGGAACATATCTTAAATATGGAAAACATAATGAACGAGCTTGTTCTTTGTCTGGTAAATTTTTATAAGACTCTGTTATATTACTAATATGTCGTAAATGAATGTCCCATATATGAGACAAGCAATTATATTTAGTTTTTAATCCTTCATTACACCCTGGATATGTACACTGATATTCTTTAAATCTAATTCGTTTGTCAGTTCCAGCTCTTTGAACGTCGCTTTCCATGCTTTATTATTTAATGTTTGAAGATGAAACAATTAAATTTTTTCTTTTTTATTTGATACTAATATTATTAATTCTAATATAAATTTTTATAATTCTTTATTGTTTTTTTGTTTTATGATTTTTATTTCCTACTATCCGAACAAACAAAACAAAATGAAAAAACACCAAAATGAACTTAAAGTGTAAAATTAAATATCTTTACTTCTTTTTAGTTTGTACTTGTTTTGTAGTCTTCTTTTGTTCAGTAGTGGCTTTAGACTTTTTTGCTGGTGTAGAAGTCTTTTTCTCTGTTTTAGAAGATGTTTTAACACTAGAAGTTTTATCTGATTTAGTAATCTTATCAAGAGCTTTCTTTTCTTGCTTCTTTAAATCTTTTTCGGTTTTCTTGGTGATTTCTTTTTTAAAAACTTTACCAAGAGTCTTCATAGATTTTCTTAATGGTTTCTTAGTGACTTTTTTAGCTTCTTTCTTAGCTTCATTTCTTGATTTAACAATAATTAAATATTGGTGTTCAAGTTTTCTAATTAATCCATCGATAGCAGATCTACAAACCATCTTAATATCTTCATTAACTACACCTTCTGCTGTAGCTTCTTCAATTCTTTCAACAATCTTCTTATAATATTTATTATAAGCTTTCTTAGAGACTTTCTTGAATTTGTCTTTAGCCTTTAAGATATCACCTTCATTTTTATGGTCAATAGTCTTAACTAATTTTTCTGAGGCAATTTCAGCAGCCATCTTAGCATATTTATGAGCAAGGGCTTGAGTTTCCTTTAAGAGGAGTTTTTGGTTGTGTTCAATTTCTCTTCTAATATGAGAAGTTTCTTCAAGACCAACTCTATGCTCTGTTCTAGTATTTCTAACTAATCTATCTCTATCTGGAAGAGCAATCTTATCAGCCATCTTCTTCATTCTTCTAAGGATGGCTCTTTTTTGTCTTCTAATTTTATCAAGGTTCTTGTGTAATTTATCAATTTGGGTTTCAATCTTC